CCTGGTCCCGCAACTATTCCTGCTGGCGCTGTGCCTCCGTCACCTGCTCCAGCTGGGTGGCTGCCATTTCGGCCACCATTTGGGCCAGCTCCCCCCTTTCCTGGCTCTGGTTTGTGCCCCATCGTACCGCGTCCCGGGATTTTGGCACCACTGTGGTGTGGTTGAGACACGACAGGTCCACAGGTTGTTATTCAGAGCCATCCTTATTCATTCCGCGGCTGCAGCTCTCGGCTGGCATTTGCATATACATCACACCACAATACACAACTGGTTGCCACTCTGCCCTACCCCTAATTCCCCAAGTTTTAACATGGCCGGCATGATGACGGATGCTGTGCAGGTGTATCCGGATGGCACCACTAACCACGCCTCACTGCAATGACAGATTAAGACAATCAGACTTAACATGACGAGGAAGACTAAAACACAGGGGGTGATTACACAAAGGGATATAAGAAGCAGAACTAAAACAGCAACCTAGGGAAAATAGGAATGAGCTGAACTTAAACATAACATAATAAATAAAATATCCAAATTCAGAGCGCTGAGTCAAACAACCCAGGTTCGTGACATCATCACTCATTTCGAACTTGATGCCAGCAACACGTTCCCAAAAAGCTGGAACAGGGGCAACATTAGACTGGGAAAGTTGAGGAATATTCAAGAAATACCTGTTTTGAACATTCCACAGGTGAACAGGTCAATTGGAAACAGGTGTTTTTCATGACTGGGTATAAAACAACCTTCGATCTCTAAGGCAGCACCGCATTAAAAGTCCGCGTGGGCTCAGGAATACTTTCAGAAAAACCATTTCAAATTGTTTTTGGAAATCATGGATGTTGTGTCCTCCGGGGCAAGGAGGAAAATAACCATGTTATCGGCGCAAAGTTCAAAAGCCAGCATCTGTGATGGTATGGGGTGTGTTTTTGCCCATGGCATAGGTAACTTGCACATTTGTGAAGGCACCATTAATGCTGAAAGGTACATACAGGTTTTGGGGTAACATATGCTCCCATCCAAGTAAGGTCTATTTCAGGGACGTCCTTGCTTACTTCAGAAGGACATTCTGCATGTGTTACAATACGATAACTGAGACCCCGGACTGTTGAGCAACTGAAATTGTACATCAAGCAAGAATGGGAAAAAATTCCACCTATGCAGCTTCAACAATTAGTGTCCTCTGTTCCCAAACGCTTATTGGTGTTGTTAAAAGGAAAGGTAACATAATATAGTGGTAAACATGCCCCTGTCGCAGCTTTTTTGGAATGTGTTGAAGGCATCAAATTCAAAATGAGTGAAGATTTTCAAAACAACAATAAAGTGTATCAGGTTGAACATCAGATAATTAGTCTTTGTAGTGTATTCATCTGAATATACTCGAGGTTGAAAAGGATTTGCAAATCATTATATTCTGTTTTTATTTAAGTTTTACACAACATCCCAACTTCATTGGAATTGGCATTGTACAGGGTGGGCCATTTATATGGATACACCATAATAACATGGGAATGGTTGGTGATATTGAAGTCCTGTTTGTGGCACATTAGTATATGTGAGGGGGCAAACTCGGCAAGGTGGGTGGTGACCATGGTGGCCATTTCATCAGTGGCTGTCCTAGCTTCATTTAGCAAGAGCCCACAGCGTAGCACTCGCCGCATGTCACTGGAGAGTGGCATTAGTCGAACATCCCTTCGGTGGATATTAGCTACTCACAAATGGCACCCTTACAAACTCCAGCTACTGCAGCATCTCAACGAGGATGACCCAGATCGGCGCACAGAATTTGCAGAATGGACAAAGCAAAAATTGGAACAGGAACCTCAGTTCACGCAGAAGAGTTTGTTCAGTGATGAGGCAAACTTTTGTGTGAATGGTGAAGTTAACAAACAAAACCACCGCTATTGGTCTGACACTAACCCACATTGGATGGATCCCTCCAAGACTGTTGGACCAACAAAAGAGATGGTTTGGTGTGGTATATGGAATACAACGATAGTGGGTCCATTCTTCATCAATGGTAACCTCAAGGCCACTGGATATTTGAAATTGCTACATGATGATGTGTTTCCCTCTTTATGCACTGAAGCTGGCACGTTCCCTGAGTTTTTCCAGCAAGATGGTGCACCACCACATTATGGGTGCCAGGTCCGAGCATTCCTAGATGAACAGTTTCCTGGAAAGTAGATTGGTCGTCGTAGGCCAGTTGAATGGCCCCCAAGGTCTCCCGATCTGACCCCCTTAGACTTTTGTCTTTGGGGTCATCTGAAGGCAATTGTCTATGGTGTGAAGATACGAAATGTGCAGCACCTGAAACTACGGATACTGGATGCCTGTGCTGGCATTTCTCCTGCGGTGTTGCTATAAGTATGTGAAGAGTGGGAGAAGAGGTTTGCATTGACAATCCAACACAATAGGCAGCACATTGAACACATTTTATAAGTGGTCAGAAACTTGTAAATAACTCATGAAAGAATAAAGTTACGTTGAAACCAAGCACACCGTTGTTTTTCTTGTGACATTACCAATAAGTTTGATGTGTCACATGGCCCTCTTCCTATTGAAAAAAAACAAAAGTTTTATTCAAGATGGCCGGCTTCTAAACGGCCACCATCGTCACCATCCATCTTGAGGAGTTTGCCCCCTCACATATACTAATGTGCCACAAACAGAACTTTAATATCACCAACCATATAACCCATGTTATTACGGTGTATCCATATAAATGGCCCACGCTGTACATCCCCAGAGGTTATTGAGAATGTCCAAGCTAAGATCCTGAAGGAACTGCAAATAGAAACAGACAAACTATTGGCTTTTAACCAACGGACATAGTAATCTTCTCGTCGTGTTCGGGTCAAACCTGACCGATTTAAGACTTAACACACTCATAAATATTGTCTCAAGGCCTTATTGTCTCAAAGCTTTATGATATCCTCCACACTATGCACTTGAACATATAAAAGTGATGAATACCTCTTTCACTGAATTTTGAGTGTTTTATTCAACCTTGTTACACCTGTGGTGTTCCCAGTCAAACGTGACCACCATAGAATATGAATGGGAATGCATGCATTCACTCACTCACTCACTGAACGACCCACTGAGTGACCCACCGAACAACCAAATGAAAAACCCACTGAACAACCCACTGAATTACCCACTAAACAACCACTGAATGACTACTAAGGAACCCACTGAACAACCCAGTGAGCGACCCACTGAACTGAATTTGGTGGTTAAAAATGTTTTTTGTGTTAATTTAAGAGCAGCTAAAACGGACCCGTCGGTTTTGACCGGGAACACTAAAGTAAGGGGCAGGAGGTGAACATGACCGGAGGGTGGAAAGGCAAAGTAAAAAGCCTTTAGTGACAGATGTAGCTATACCAAGTGATATCAACATCAGGAAAAAGGAAGACTAAAGCTTGAGAAATACTAAAGGCAGAGCTGGAAAAGATAGGGAGAGTGAAGGCAGCTATTATAAAAGCTGGAGCTCCACAGGCTAGAGTGCAATGGGAACAATAGTAAGCAGCATTTTAAACAATGAGCCAACCCTGGCAGAAAAGAGCAGTGAAACTGAACTAGATTACGCCTAGTGACCTATAATAGCAAGTGCACTTTCTGAGCTGAGGATGAAGACTGTGCCTAGACTCAAGATAACGATCAACCAAGATGCTATTTTCCCACCTTTGCAGATGTGAAAAGTGCTCTATGTATCATCTCTACTGCCAGTGTCACTAAACCAATGAGCTCATATTCGTCACTTTCACAGTAATCCTAGAAGCACTCGGGTCAAGCATGCACGTAGAGTAAGCCCCCCATGGAGAAGAAGGCTGTAAGCTAAAATCAGGGAATCCTAGATGGATGTTCACTAGTTAACTCAGGTGCAGAAAGCAGGTCATGAGAGACAGATCCGGGATCAAAAAGAGGTACAACAAGATGTTCATAACTGAGTCTCTTGAAACCACCAAATAATGGTTCACAGCTCGTTCTGCTAGGGTGAAGAGAAACTCCAGCAAAGCAGAGACAGGCTACAAGAAAGCCTATGGCTCAATTTCCCAAACATACTGGATACTGGAATGCTTGGCAATGTACAAGACTAATAGTGGACTAATTGCATTGATCAGTAACTTAGGCACGCAAGAGAATAGTCCTCCACAGTGAATTCAAAACTTTGTAAAAGATTTTGAAAATTGTAGTTAGTGATCTGGAACGTCATGCTGTTTAGGTGGACAATGTACTTGCACAATCATTCTTTTATTGAACATCTCTTTGTAGACTGACTGGCCATTAACTTAACAAAATGTGGGTTTACCTGTGTAAAAGCAACACACATTGGACATTTGTGGACCAGAGTCAGATGCAGCCAGTACAAGCAAAAGTGCTGAGTATGGAACTCTTCACTGTGACAAAAAACATAAAAGTAGCTGATGCATTTCCAAGGTATGTGTGGTCAGTACAGCACTGAAATAAAACACAAGGTAGAGCAGATAATCCTAAATGCCCACAGTGAACTCATTGGCTGGACACATTAATTGTACACACCGTGTACAGTCAACTATAAGAGGCTGAGCAATGCCATTTTAGACCTCCTCCTCTCTGGAGAATGAATCAACCTGATAAAAACCTTCTCAAGACTCACATGATTCATTATGTATATGTGGTTCATGAATGATAAAGATATAATTCAAGTTCAGATATCTTTATGAACAGGACACACAACACAGGGTTTATGTTACTGTAATTTTGTTTAGTTTGGTTTGGTTTTTTAAATTGTTTTATGTAGTCTGGTTATTCAGTTTATTTTTTTTATTAAATAGTTTTTGAAGACAATAATGGATCAAGAGTTAAATTTTACATATGTAACTCTGGACTGGTATGTGGGCATTAACAAGTACAGATATGTTTTCTTTTTTATTATGTTTGCATTATATAGTCTAATAATCTGCACTAATTCTACTATTATGTACATAATCTGCATTCATAAAAACCTTCATGAGCCTATGTACATTTTCATTGCAGCTTTATTACTGAACTCTGTTCTTTACAGTACAACTATTTACCCAAAACTCCTGATTGACTTTTTATCTGAAAAACAAGTCACAACATATTCAGCCTGTCTCTTTCAGTTTTTTATGTTTTATACTCTAGGTGGTTCAGAGTTCTTTCTCTTGGCTGCCATGGCCTATGACAGATATGTGGCAATATGTAAACCTCTGCAATATCATATTATCATGAGAAAAACCACTGTGAGTATTTTTCTGATCATAGCTTGGCTTGTACCTGCTTGTCATATTGCAGTCCAAGCAATAGGGAGTGCTAACATTAAACTGTGTGACTTTAATATAAAGGGAATATTTTGTAACAATGCAGTTTACACTCTTCTGTGTGAAAGATCAAGATTAATTACCATCTTTGGTGTGGTTGCTTTACTAGATCTTGCAGTACTTCCTATGCTCTTTATAGTTTTCACTTATACAAAAATATTTATAGTCTCTTATCAAAGATGTAAAGAAATTCAGAAGAAAGCTGCAGAGACTTGTTTACCCCATCTTTTAGTTTTAATCAGTGCTTCTGTGTTTTTTGTGTATGATGTAAGCATAGCTCGGGTGGAAACAAATTTTCCAAAAACTGTACGGATAGTAATGACATTACAAGTAGTTCTGTATCATCCTATTTTTAATCCATTCATCTATGGACTCAAAATGAAAAAAATTTCAAAACACCTGAAAAGGTTCTTTTCCAGGCCACAATCAATCCTTGTATTAAAAGTAAATGCCCAGTACAACATTGCTGTTATTTTTTGGCTGCAGTTACTTAAAACACTTTTCATATGACAACATGAAATCATCCAAACTATCATGTTTATATATTTTATGTATGAACAAGAAATGCAAGAAAATGTAAAGTTTAAAACATATCACTGTTGTGTTTTTGAAGAAGGGTATTGTAGTTACACCATTCTTTCAGACAGTGGACCTCATCTCTGTAGGCAGTGTCGTCATCGTCGGTGATGAGCCCCATCAGAGTTGTATAATCTGCAAATTTGATAGTGATGTTGCAGGGATGTCAGGGGGTGCAGTCTCTGGTGTAGATGTAAGTGTACTGTTAATGTTCATGGCGTCAGTTACACGATGGACCCATAGCCAACATAACAGAGCCAGCAGTGCACGGGCAGGAATTCATTTCTTACTTAGAAATTCAGACACCTCTTGATATTTAAAGAAGAAAGGGATGGGCGAAATCTGATTGTTTAACACAAACTCTGTTTGCCAGCAACCAAGCTGCTCTCAGCATCAAAAGACTCCACCTCCAACCTAAAGAAATATCAGGAAGTAAGTTCATTTTTAAAAACTAAAGTTAGCCTACTACAGTTACTTTGTTTTAGTTGTTATAGCATGAACAACCTGCTAGCTGCAAATAATTATTTGCAGTTCTGTAAGGACTAACCTCAGCTAACACCAGCTAACAATGTTAGCTCAGTGGTGAGCAGTCTTCAGTAATAGTAATAAATCACACAACAATAGTATGTAGTTGTAAAAAGCATGACAATATATTAAGTAATCCAAAGTATTCAGAATGCACACACATTGTGTAACTTAATGGAATACGCTACTGTTACGTCCCTCTGCAGCCCCTAATCATCTCAATGTTTTCAGCTGGTGCTAATTGGCCACACCTAGTCAGGTGTGGATAAAAGCATACCTGAGGCGAGCTTCCCGGGGAGCTCACTTGTCTTTGCCTTGGTGGCACCAGCCATTTTAGCCAACCTGGTATTCCATTTTAAGACAAAACCTCTTCTCACTAACACTCTGGTATTCATCTTTTATTTTATGTTGTGGCTTTTGAGCCTGGTTGTAACATAAGTGGGGGCTCGTCCAGTAGTGATGGGCAGATGAAGCTGGGCAGATGAAGCTTCAGTGCGCATGCGCCAACCAGCGTGCAGCCTGTTACAGTCGCTCCTGCGACATTGAACTGTGTGCTGTTGGACTCAGGCCGTATTATTTACCCAGGGAATTCTCTCATGTCATCATGGTGGCTGTTTATGTTCCTCCTTCTGCTAACCCCACAGCTGCATGTGACACTATCCACTCTGTCATAGCCCGGTTAGAGACTCAGCACCCGAGTGCCTTTATTGTAATTTCGGGTGACTTCAACCATGTATCACTGGACAATACGCTACCAACATTCAGACAATATGTGGACTGTCCGACCAGGAGAGAAAAAATTCTACACCTACTGTATGCTAATGTCAAGGATGCATACAGCTCCTCCTCCCTCCCCCCACTTGGTAGGTCAGATCATAACCTGATTCACCTCACCCCCCGCTATGTGCCAATTGTGAGGAGGGAACCTGTGACCACGAGGAGCATTAGGAGGTGGTCAGAGGAGGCCTTAGCGGAACTACAGGGCTTTTTTGAGGTGACCAACTGAGAAACACTCCGTGAGCCTCACGCCGAGGACATCAATGGGCTTACTGAGTGTATCACAGACTACATAACTTTCTGCACCGACTCCATTGTTCCAGCTCAGACTGTTCATTGTTACCCAAATAACAAGCCATGGGTCATCAAGGTTCAAGGTTCTAGGTTCTTTCAAGGTTCTTTATTATTTGTCACATGCATAGTTATACAAGTATAACACACAGTGAAATGTAGCCTGACACGCTCCTCGACATGTGCAAAAAT